AGGTCCCGGGAGCCGAGCCTTCCTCCGCGCGAGCCCGGCGAGCCTTGCCGCGGATGCCCTGCCCGGAGTGCTCCGTGTCGCGCCAGGCTTGCCAGGGTCCGCGGCGAGACATGCCCGATCCAGGCGCTGCACCGACCTCGACTTATCTGTAAGCAGCGGAAGGTAAGCGGAACCCCGCGTGCCCTCCTCCTGCACCCGGCGCCCGCTGCACTTGGCCACGGGCAAAGCGCCGCTGGGACAGGCGCAGACCCCGCTCGGGCGCATCTTCTCGCCCCCAAACCGGCTTCGCCGGGGCCAAGATACGCCGATTCAGCCGGGAGCAGAGCAGGCGTCGGGCGCGGGCGGGGGCAGGGGGCGAGGTTATGCAACTGCAGCTGGCACGACTGGGGGGCGTCTGGCAACTTTGGCGACCGCCAGGGAGGAGCGGGGCTGCGTGTCTGTGATGTCGGTTCTAGACAAACGCCACAGCCTCGTGAGCGCCCGACAGCCCCAGCCAGGCACAACTGGGGGGACCCGGGGGCGGCCGTTTCCCCGTCACGTTCGGAGGCTTTTAAGTATTTTCCAAAGTAAAGCGAACTAGCAAGTACTGCTGATTAACTTCGGGGGGATAAGTGGGAGCCAAGGGGCCCTGGCGCCGGCCACTGAGGAGGCGCGAGCAGGAGCAAAGGCAGATACCCACGTGAAATGCCCGTCTCCTCTGCTCGCTGGCTCGCTTGGGTTGGCACCTTCCCGGAGCTGCAGGGCTGGGGTCTGCGCCCGCGGGGCTTTTGGATGCCTGACATCCAGAGTCTGACCAGCACAGGCGTGGGAACCCAACCAACGCTGCAGGTTGAGGGAGCGAGCTAGCAAGCGGGCGAGCTGGCGCTGAGCAGGAGGGAGGAGGCAGCCCGCGGGCCAGCCAGAGGCCCGGGCCATGCCTGGAGCCCAAAGTCAAGAGCAAGAGTCTGCATCTTGCTGGTTCATGCCCAGGGTTCCTGGCTGGTGTCTCCACTGCTCTGATAAAAAAAAAAAAAAAAAAAAAAAAAAAACCCTCTCCTGTGACCTCAACATTCTACTACCCAAAATATGTCACAGGGAGATTGAGTCAGTGATCAAGGGAGGCCAAGAGTGGGGGAGGAGGGGCACTCCTGGAGTAAATAAGCGAGAAAATGGGTGCCTTTTGCTCATCCTCAGAACAGGACTCAGCCCATTTCCCTCTCGGGCTGCAGGTCTGGCCTGGGGGGCTGAGCCAGAAGCAGCAGGAAAGCAGTTCAATTTGACCTTGTCTGCCTGGGCACTGAAATTCTTCCCAAGCATCCTGAGGTGAAACTGGCAAGAGTGGGAAGGAACTTTGGGCTAGCCCTGCCTTGGCCAGGGACCAAGTGATCACTTCAGATCACAGCTCAGGCCAGCAGAGGGTCGAGGTCAGCGGCTTAGAGGTTTTCCCCTGGACAAGGACTTGCTGGGGGATTACCTTTCCATATCCCAGTGGCAGGACTGTCAAGGTTACAACACAGGGGACTTGATTAAAAAATACCACTCAAATCACAAGACATGGCCATCCTTGGTCAGTAGTGCACATATGAAAATAGTCTGACCTTATTTAGCTTACACTCAGATTGAGCAGAAAGTAACCACCGTTTCACTCTGCAGAGGCGTAAAGTGAGGTTTCACTTTTCACATTGTGCTATTTATTACATTCATATCCTGTTGAATGTTACTTTTCAAAGTTCATATTTATCTTTGCATTTTTTTTGCAAGAATGATGAGCAGACACACACGAGCCACTCAAAAGAAGAAATGGAAGTCCTGCCATCTGCATGCTTCACCAGATATTAATAATTTACTCTCCATGTTTACTACTTACATTAGATGGCACTGCTCCTCACGATGGGTTTTATCAGAGGCACATTTTGGGGAAAAAAATTCTAGCACAGCCATCACTAATTGCATGATTTTGCATAAATTAGGTTAGCTACAGAGTTTTGTTTTCTTCTTGACTAAATTCATCATTTCCTTAAAAAAGATGGAATGATTCAGTTTAATTTCTTTAGCTAATGGAAGAGCTCTACTAAAAAACAGGATGCCCTTGAAAAGCAGAATATGCCTTTAAACTTATTACAGTTGCCACGACTTTCTGTTTCATTATTGTGATTAAGACTGAGCTTTTACATCAATCAGTTTCATTATCCTGTTGAAAAACAGAACTACTGGTCAAGAAATAGGATACAAGGCAAAAGCTGGAAAGCTCCGTGTTTGCTCAAGGAGCTTTCAAAAGCCCTATAGAAAGCTGGAGACTCCATTACTTGGTTGACTTTGGGGGGGGGGGGTTCCTCTGTTTTGCCATGATTGTTTCCCCCCACAGCAGAACAGGGATTTTCCTGTCTTTTGTTCCTCTCTCTGTAGGAAGAAATTTAAAATAAATAATAAGTAAATAAATGAAAGACTTATACATGAAAGGCATCTCTCTTCAAGGAAGACTCCTACACATGGAAACAAGCAGCAAATAAAAATGAAGCTCAGAAATCAGAGTCAGCCGCAGAGGAGCGCGGCTGGACACACTCATTCTCGTAACTAGACATTTGTATTCTCTTGTTTGCTCCAACCCATAGTTCTTGCATTTGGAGATACGACTGAACTCTCCTGTATGAGAAGCAGATTACTTATGTCGGGGCCAGACTGCTTCTCAGAGAATGACGACACAGAGGTGGTCACAGCCACATCACAAGGCAGCAGTTCTGTGGACAGGCATCCACACAGAAGGGAAGTGACCTGCCCACCAGGGATCTTTATTCTCAGACCACGGGCCAACCCCCACACACCAGGGCACATCAAGGATGCACTCGCCATGTCATCTGGGCAACGCTCAGTAGTCCTGGGAACGGGAGGTCAGAAGGACTCCCCACAGGAAATGAGCTTTGCTACTTGAAACACCCACCATAATTCCACCAAGACCTACATTCCCCAGCCAGAAATTAGCTGACATAATTTATGAAGCAGACCCTTTCTAGTCTCCCGACATATTTAATTTTAATATTTCATAACATTATGGAGTGACTTCAATATTTTAAAGCACAATTTAATATGATTGATATTACATGGCAACATGTGCGTTTCCATGAAGTTCCCATACAAACATTCAGAGAAGTCTTGATCTAAATCTAACCTTGATCTAATCTTAACATAAATGTAGTGAAACTTCACAACTTTTAACTCATTTATTTTAAAAAAATCTATTTTATGTTTTAAGGACAGAATACAGATTTGGAACCAGTGGTAGGGGTCCTGAGAGACTTCATAGAAACAAGTCATTTGGACATCTGTGCTAAGCAACAGGCCATACAAGGGGTACTTTGAACCTTTGGACTATGACTTAAAATGTGTCCATTTTTGATCCAAAAGATACTAAGGTATCTCCAGGAACCAAGAACCTTGCCTCTCAGAGTAAGAAACAGCCTAACTTCATCTCTGGGTCCTGAGACGGTCTCTTCCAGAGACCCCTCTACTCTAACACATGAAGACATTCAGTATGAATTTGAGTCAGTAGGCAGCTCACACTTTTTCAAACCATGAGTGAGGTGAAGAACTATGGTACAAAGTCATCATCAAGTTACAATCCAGTATCTAAGTAAAAGAAACATTCTAACCTGGCTTTATGCTGAGTACATATTCCCAACTCTAACTGGTAAGGAGGGAACTGAGCACAAATATAGAAAAGCAGATATTAGGGACAAGAAGGAATTATATCTCTAAATTACTCTGTAAACCTCATGGCTAATGCCATATTCCCAGGGATTTGTAAAGAACTCTTTCCAAAGTCATTACTTGTAAATATTGCTTTTATGGAGTACAGTACTGGTAATTCGGTCTATTGTGTGTCCATAGACTTGCTTCTTTACCACATCCTGATGTTAGGAAGTCTGAGAAGAAAAGGCCAGAGAGACATCCATTATTGCACTGTGTATACGCACATCAGTTACAGGATTTCACCCAGTAGAGTGATGAAGAAACTTATTTTAAAAAAAAAATCCTAACAGCATGTCAAAATGAGGGCTGAAGTTCATGTTGCAGTCACACAATGGAAAATTCCAATTCAATCCTTAATAATCTAGCCTTGGGCATAAAATGAAATGCAGTAAACTATAACATATGAGGGACATGAGAAGGAGGCTATGGAATGTTGAAAATATTACAATCAGATTTGCAAATAAACTTTGCTTTCTCTCTACTTCTGAGCTCTAGAGAGAAAGAGAAGCAGGGCAGGCTAGATAGAGGGCCGACCTCCTGTCAGCTGCTCTGTGCAGGGACCCCATCAGGAACACCCTATCCACGGCAAACCTTAGTGACACTCAACAACCTCGGAGCTACTAGGTCATTCCATTGGTGATGTGCTACACCCCCCTTCTCAAGAAAAAGTCCTATATTGGTCACTTGTCCTTTTAAAAAAATCTTTTTTCCATGTTTTCTCGGTGGTTAGAGTCCAGGTATCTCATACTTGAATTTTGCTTCACAAAATCTGCTTATTTGTTTAAATAAATGACGTTGGCATCCTTGGGAATGTAGTGAAACTATAAAATTGGACTCTTAAAATGGGGTAAGCATAGAGAAGGGGGATGGATGTGCTGGGGGCTCTATTTGGAAAGGACTTCACATTTCCTGGATTGTACTGAGGCCTGGCAGCAGTGGCCTCAGTGCTTCAAGATTGAAAGAGAGGTCCTCAGGAAGTGCAGGTACACGAGGAGGACAGGAGGTGGCAAACCGCTCAGGAGTCCCAGAGGGAGAGGCAGGAATGGCGGCTGCAAGGAGAGTGTCACCCTGACTGACGTGGAGGGTGAAGGTTGCCCTGGGCCAGGCACACAGATGTCCTGGGGCTTGAGCCAGCTGTGGTGATCAGAGCAGGAGATTTACAAGGAAGGGTGACAGGTGGCTTTGGGCATGGGTTTTGGCTTTGGAGGGCGGGGGAAATAGGTTGAAACCAATTTGAGGAGAACCAGCAGGGCAAAGAGAGGCCTCTGTTCATTGGCTGTTTTGAACAGGACCGTACATTATCAGAAGATGGTCATGCTATCTGGAGACAAACCCGAGAAAAGGGACGGGAGGCTGGCTGCAAAGGTGTCACAGATGGGACTGACTGGGGCCCAAGGTGACTGATGGTGTGGGATGAGTACAAGGGGACAGTATGAGAGGTGGATCTCATGGGCAAAGCTTTGTGATGTGACGCCTGGGTGAAGGGATTAAAGATCCTGAAAAAGGCCAGGAAGTGGGTAGGTGATGTGAAGTCTGGGAGCCAGCAGGGGGAAACACATTGTTGATTCTCACAAATTTTTATATGAGTTTTTAACTGGAAATGGTATGTTAAAAAATAAGTTCCTCATTGTCTCTCGTTCCCTAGAACTTCTGTGAGGAATGCTTTCCATTAGGGGAAAAATGGGCCAAGGGATTCTCAACACAGTGAACTTCTTAAAGGACAAAGCATAACACTGTCTAGTAACAGGTGCTTTATAAATATTTAATGAGGCTATTAACAGTAAACCTAGTCCCTGATTTTGCTAGGAATTCAGGGAATCCTGAATGGGAAATAATTGTTCTATTCATTTCAAGTTCTACTTTTTTTTTTTTCTTTTTCTTTTGTAGTAGGAATAAGCAGGAAGGATCAGGAGGAGGTGGTAATCGAGATGGAGAATCAGGCCTTACATCTGGCCTTGCAGTATCTAGAAAAGGAAAAAAGTACCCAAGGACTGGGTTTTCTGTCACCAAACAACCACAGGAATTTCTTTTGGTAAAAATTCACGTGGGCAGAAGCTGAGCTTTTAAAAAAAGAATGTCTGAATTTAGTGACTCGGTGTCAGATTAAAAGAAACGAACGAGAGGTGGGGAAATGCTATGCCCTGATCAGAGGGGAAGATGCTGGCAGATTGATTGGAAAGGCATTTTTGCTAGAGCTCTACCAAAAACCTGGAGAGTTCACTGGGCCCCCTAGAGACACCTGGACACCTGCCTCTCAGCCTTGACCTCCCGTCTCAGTTTGACATTGTGACATCAATTCCATTGATCTCCGTGCTAAACCCATCAATTTGCCACTCTTTTTTTTTTTCCTTCTTCTTTTAAAATCAATACTAGTGTGGTGCATACAGATTTTCCCATTTTCCTTGTTGAAACCACTGGGCACTAATGGCTAATGTCCAGTTAATCGTGGACGTGAAAATCCCTTAGCTCCCATCATGGGCTGGATTTGGTGCCAAAAGGAGCTCCTGATACAGCCCACGTGTAAATTAGACATATGGAAAAGAATCCGTTTCTGAAGCTGAATTTTCCATTCCATCTCTTGGGCCATTTGAGGGCCTGATGGCAGCTGTCTTCTCAAGGATTCATTGTGTGTGTGTGTGACGGGAGCTGTCAGCTTGGTGGCTTCGTTGTGGCAGTCACACCCTCCTTGCTTTGGTCCTGCTATTTGTATTTCCTCCACCGAGTGCTGCTTCTCCTATGTCCCTGGCTGCACCCCTACTCCACCAGCCACTTGCCCTGTGTCCTGGGCCAGGAAGCCTGACTGTTCCTGCCTCGGTTTCCCCAGCTCTATTAACATGGTCATTTTTTCCTCCAAGGGTGTGTGCAAAATGAGATGTCTGAGCACGTGGGCAGTGAAGAAGGGCACCACCCCCAGAGTGGACACCCTGAGTGCTGCCTCTTACTCTCAGCTTTGCTCTCCCAGGTGGTGTCACTTGCTCAGGATTCAGGGAGGACCCCAATTCAAAACCCAGCAGCTGGCCTGTCAACTGCAGTTCCTAAGGACTGCAGCCAGCAATGACCAGGCCAAGGAGTCAGCCTCCAGTGACAGCATGCTCAGTGGATGACCTTGAGCACCCCCTTACCAGTTTATAAAGCCAAAGGAGGACATTCAGCGAAACGCTAGCGCAGTGATGGTAACCCACCTCCAACCCTGACCTGTGCTTGAGAGGGCCTGTCCCACCCACGGAATTCCTGGAAAGGGACAGAAGCTAGACGTGACACATTTTCAGCCAGAAACACAACACTACCACCCTGCACAGGTGTGGCATGCCCTGTTCATGCTCTAGACCTGCCCAGTGAGTTCACTTGGACTGTGCCATTCAGGAATCAGTGCACATGGAGAGAGACCTGAACTTTAAGCTGTAACAGTGACTGGTCACTAGTTTTACTCTTCTGCACTGTGCATCCACTTGACTGTTGAGGCACAAGTCAGGCCCAACAAGGCCCAGAAAGCACGAACTGCAGCCCCCACACAGGGTCTGCTGGCATTGGCCACAACACCGGACTCAGCTCCAGGTCCACTCTAGAAAAAATATGGAAGGAGCCAGCTCTCCCTGCCCACCTAGGACATTCACTGCGTCTTTTGGTCACTATTTCTAGGTACCTTTTATGGGCAATGTGTTACTTTAAGCTTTGGGAATATGGCAGGAAGTAGAAGAAAAAAGGGTTGTGGAAGAAAAAAATGTGTAGACTTGTAATTCTTTTTTATGAATGTGTTATTAAAATTACTTGAGAAGTTAAAAAAATAGACTGCTACTCATTCCTCATCCCCCAGAAATTCTGACTGACTGGGAAAGGAGGGAACTAACACTGTTTATTTCTTACCTTTTAATGGATTTGTTCCCTGGCCTCCAAGTGTGGCCTTCCAGAGAGCAGGGCTAGGGCAAAGCCCTGAAGGCAAGTGCCAGGGTCCCTGCTTCCTGTGGAGGACAGCCCCCTCCAGACCCTCCTCTCCCGAAGGCAGGCACCGCTCTCTTTAAACACATGCACGCAAAGAGACCCCCGGCTTCCACTTCTTCCCTTGGCTTCACGAAGGCCAAAGCACGGAAGGGGCATTGGAGGTTTGGGGAAGATCTATGCTTTCATTTTATTAAAATCCTGTTCGGATTCTGAAGTCTGCAGAGAGTGTTTCACAGATCCTCTTACTCACTAGCAGGTGGACTTGTGTTCAGGAGCCACAGTCTCCCGCTCTGGTTCTCAGGCTCCTTGTCCCATGATCTGTGGGAGGGACAGGGCCTCTGCTCGGGAGACGCTGCAGGGGTGAGAGCTGGGGCCAGCACAGGAATGGGAACCTGGACCCTTCCTCCAGTTGACACTGGAGCTCCCTGTGGGCTGGGTGCTTCCTGCCCTCAGATGGCCACCCTAGCCTGGGGTTTGATCTGCCCCAGGATCGAGTCCAAGTTCCACTCTGGACAGGAGCAGAGAAGGTTGCTGCAACTCCTGTGAAGAGCAGCCAGGAGGCTGGTGGCCGTGGTTCAAGGCCATCAGAACTCTACTGGCCTTCCTGGCGGGCGCAGCGAGCGGGATGCACCAGTTTGGCTGCACTGGCTCCCGAGTCTCCCCTTCCTCTCCTGTCCATGTGCGCTGTCTGGCTGTCCGTCTGTGTGTGTCTCTGGACCCACTGTCCCCTCCCATTCTCTTTCTCTGTGTCCCCATTTCGCTATGACTTCCTGTCCACATTAATCTTCATGGACAAGAGCAGCACGGAGTGATATTTCTAAGTATTGATTTCACTCACTGGTTATAATTATACATTTGCTGTTCTCAATTCAAACTATGCAAAACGGGAGTTCTTCCGTTCAAACCTCCGTGCGCCTCGGAAGCCCCTGGACTGCTGGGGTGCGCTGGCCCTGTGCTGCTTCCTCCTCCTGTGAAGGTCAGCACCTCCTCCTCCACGGCTGCGGAGTGTGGAAAGGTGCCACACTCTAAAATGTTTGCTTATTCCCAGTGATAGAGGTGTTGGAATTAAATTCATAATTTATTTTATCACTGCCACATCCTATTCCCAAGAAGAAAGTCAGATAACGTAAGAACAAATCTACAGATAATGCCTAGCAAGTCGCATTTCCCACAACAAAACCCTGATGTGCTTCGTGACAAAATAGGAAACACGTTTCTGGGCCACCTACTCATGTTTGAGAGCTCGTGTGGCATGGACTCTTCTTCTATCAATCAGCACACAAGCAAATTCATACAAAAACCTAACTGCAGATACTTTGGGCCAAGATTCAGAAGTTAAAGTCTCTACATATAAATTTACCTAAAACCTAATGAAACTCGATCATTCTCCTTTCTTCTTCCTCCTCATGCTTCAGAATACAGCCGTGTTCCTTCTCCCCTGGGCATTCAGGCAGGGTAGAAAGGACCCTCAGAGACCACGAATACGGCACACCCATTGGGAGCCTTCTTTTATTTATTTATTTATTTATTTAAAGTTGTAGTTGGACACGGTATCTTTATTTCAGTTATTTATTTTTACGTGGAGCTGAAGACAGAGCCCATGGCCTCGCACGTGCGAAGCGAGCACTCTACTGCTGAGCCCCTGCCCCGCCCGGGAGCCACGCAGATCACACTCTTAATCCACAAGCAAGGGCTGAAGGATGGCTGGGCACAGGGGAGACAGGTGCTTGCAGGGACCTTGTCCCCACAGCACTCATGCCAGCGTTCAGGAGAGGACTGGCAGACAGCAAGGCAACTGCATGTCCTTCGGGCCTGCTGCCCAGCGCCTCCCAGGGAGGCAGCCCCCCCCCAGGAGCACCCCCAGCTCCAACTCCAGGCCTCCAGAGCCCAGCGGCTGATTCCTCCACACACGTGCTCCCCGCGGGACCACAGGGGAGCACTGCGTCTACCTCTGAACCATCAGAGAGGCTGTCCACGGGCGCGGAAGTCAGGCACAGTCCTGGAAAGGGAGCCAGCAGAAGAGGGGACACCCGGGGGGATGAGCCTGGCATGCTCTGGAGACCCTGGGAGGGACTGTGTCCCTTCAGCAGATGGAGCACGACCGAGTTGTGCTGAGAGGTCTAGAGACACAAGCAGGGAAGAGCAGGAGACGGAAGACCCGCTCTCTTCTTGGAAGTTCTGCCAAATGGGGCTCTGCAGAGAGGACAGGTGTGGGGCCCCGAGGCTGGACAGGCAGGACGGCAGATGCAGGGCAGAGGCAGGAGAGGCAAGAAGGTTGGGACCAGGGTGGGAAAAGTGTGAAGATAAAGGAAGAAATCAATAGGAGAAGCAACAGGAAAGAAAAAAAATCAATGGGGTGTGGGCGGTGAGTGGATATGGGGAATTAAACCAGGAATGGTTAGCCAATAGTTGGCAGCAGCCATGAGGGCATCCTCAGAATCAAGGTCCCGAAAGACCCCACTCTTACAAGGTAGGGATGTGTCTCGATCCCAGGCCGATCCTGCCTTTAACCCTGAGCACCTGCTCCAAGCTCAGCAGGGGACGTTGTGCTTCTGGGTTGAGTACTGACCACTCTCGGCTCTTAGGCCATCATGCTGTGTGACCATCTCCCAGGAAGGACCACAGCATCCTCTTCTGGCTGCCAGAGACACTACTTGGGTTTTCCCGAGCCAGGGGACAAACCTTTCAAGACGCCAGAGTGGACGCCGCGAGGGAAACGTGATGGCCTGTTTTCAAAAAATGGCTGATGGTTGTAATGCGCAGATGACCCCCAACTGCTGTTGGTCTAGGAAAAAATTAAAGAGCCAGACCTGGAAGAACAGAAGGTGACGTCGCGCCGGATGAGGGGCGGAATTCATTTTCAGGAATTGTCATTGTCTAGAGTACACAACATCCACACCCTGTTTTGCTTACTTTCTTTCCTCCCCACCACCAACAATGACCTTGTACATTCTGAACATCAAAACTTCACCCCACGTGCACCTACAACTAGGGATGATGTGTCACTCTGCCCAGAACAGTCCCTGTTTCCACATCTCGAGGAATGTACTGTGCACACCCCCTTGGCCTGCCTCAGTTCTGTCTAGCCTGATGGCACCTTTCTTCTGGATGATGACCCTGAGGTCTCCTTCACTGCCCATCAGCTCCAACAGAAGGGGAAAAGGTCTCTCACTTCAGGTGGCTCTGAAATCATGTTCTTTTGTTCAATTCTAGAATCAATCACCCCCGCATCACTTGTAGCCCATGAATCAAGAGGAAACCTCAAGAATTCAAACCAGACAGTCCTTCCACACAGACCACCAACATCAGCTCCCAACGTCCTGGTCAGGATTGTGCACATGGTCTCCTGGGGCAGGATGTCTTCTCCTCGTTCAGCTATTGGCTTATAAACAGAACCCCATTCCAAGAGTTGCTCATGGCTCTTTCTTCTTGGCTGAGCTGTCTCTGCAGTAAACCCAGAGCTACCAAAGAATTGGTCAAACCAAGAAAAATAACAGTGGGCAAACTTCCTTCTGAAGGAATAGGGAGACATGGGCATGGCCTTGCCAGAAGGAGAGGTTGCATCTTGACCTCGGAATGATTTCAACCAACTTGCAAGCAGAAATCCTGCCCTGGGTGTTCCAATATGGTGTCCTAAGGTCAAATTGAGAAGCAGCAGGAAAGCCATCCTTTAACATAAATCATTTTTAACGCCCCCCCCCCAAAAAATAGTTCTAATTTTTAGTTTCAGCTATCTCATGAATCAAAACATGCCACTTAGTAACGATGTACATATGTGTGTATACATACATATAAGCATACATATATACATGAGTGTGTGTTTGTGGACTCAGCACTGTCAATAGCGGTCCACTGCAGGATTGTCTGCCTGTTTTCATGGGAGTGGGAATTCCATACAGTCTACGATGGAGAGGCCACCTCTTTGTGTCCTATCAACTCTTGCTAACTCAAACCTCGTCTGGACCCCAAATGACCATCCAGGGAATGGGGGCAAACAGGACACTTATGATGGTAATCTAAGTGTACCTCTCAGCTCACTGAGAACCACAGTCCTGTACCTCACCGTCTCGGCGACTGTCAGGCTGATGGGGGAGGCCAGAGGAGATGGAAAATCAGTTCCTTTTACATCCTGATGGGTGATTTGGATGAGTTGTTGGAGTCAGATTTGCTGAACTCTTTTTGGACGTTATTAGCAAAGCTAACTGCTACAGATAAGGTTGATTTTTTACATTGATGTAATGTCTCATTTGGAGGAGGCATTTTTTTCCAGTGGATTTTCACCAACATCATAAAATTTTGCTAATTCATTTCCAGTAATTTAGATTCCGTTTGGACAGCGGATGAGCAAAGGTTAACGTCAGTATAAGCTGGAGCTCAAAGAACTAAGTAAATAGTGAGACATAAATGAAGAGGGAAGTCTGCTGCATTGAAGACAGCCATTTTCTGGTCCTTCTAAACCTCCATCCAAATCCAAAGCGTCCGTCCCTAGCAGATGAGATCCACTCTCAGGGGCAGGCCAGTGTACCCCTCTGTGGCCATGGGTGGCCGACATAATCGATGCTAGGATTTTGCTGGTTAAATGTGTGTTCTTAAATCAGAAACAAGAATGGACCGAGGCAGCACCTACGATGGTTTCTCTTCTGCCTGAAATCCTGCTTTGAGCTCCAGGAATTTCCCTCTTCCCAACTTCAGACTGGGTGGTCATCAGCTCTAAAATACCAAGGTTTCACCACAGTACTCCACGCATTGAGAGGACAGGGTACGGCTTCCATGGGAGTCCTCTGATGGCCGCGGCTCTGCAGCCAGAGCTCCCTCCATGCTCAATCTCAGGAAGACACTGAATTCATTCAGTTACCCTGGTTCAGTGCTCTGAATCAGCAACCTCTGAAGAGAGAACAAATGTCTAGAAAATATCCTGTGAGTGTATTGAAGGAAATTAAACTGGATCATGAATCTCACTAAGGCACAGTCCAGAATCTATAGCAGGCAGTGTTGCCTCAAGGAAAAACAACTCCCACTTCTGAGGAGTCAACTGGTGCCTAGAAGACAGGTCTGTGCGTCAGTGCCTTCACAGCACAAGTTCACTGAGCGACAAGACCTTCCTTCCACACTGGGAGCTGTGAGTTCAAGAACAGCACAGCCGTGCTCACCACTCGAGACTCTCAGGCATGCCCTCAGCAGGTGGACTGAAATGCTGGCCCAGTTAACCTTTAACTCCAGCTCTCAGGTGTCTCAACAGTGGGGAAGCCACTCGGAAAACCAATAATTTCCCACAGCTCCTGGTGACACGCATCCGACCACTTGCTAAGCTTTGGGGCTATATCAGAGGCCCTGGGCTATCTCCTGGCCTGCCTGACCTGGGAGCGGACGGTATCAGGACACACGCACCACATTCCAGAGCCAGCCTGGAATGCTGTGAGTCCATGCAGACATGGGAAGAACAGACATCCTCCCTCCCAGGGAGGGCCCCCTGGGAGCCAACAAACCCCGGCTTCTGCAGATTAGAAGTGCAGATGACAGACAGGTCAAGTCCGTCCTGTTTCTAACTAAAAATCAATGGCAGATCCCTTCCTTTGAGTAATTTCTCTTGAAAACCAACATATGTGCTTCTGCTAAATACTCTCTCAGTCACCTGCACATGTGTATGACATAGGTACACACACGTGTGTGCGCACACTATTTTAAGATTCCTTTTTTTCCCTTTTCAGGGCTTCCTCAAAACAATGAAAGGTAACCTTTGGAGACTGCTTGCACCCAAATCTAATCATTTCTGGGTTTTTCTCCTTCAGACACAAGTGTCCATGCTTGCAGAGACCTGCTTAAAGGTGAGCATAGCCTCTGCCGGGCTTTAATTGGCAAACTAAGGCAACCACATGGAGCCCTCCTCTGCACCCCCAGAACTGGAAAATGTACACAAATATATATCTTAATATCACCACAATGTTCTGGTTTTTTTTTTTCCTGGTAAAATTTGGTAGACTACTTTCTTGTACCTAAACATTATTTCATAAGTGGTTTTCTATGACTCTAAATAATCTCTATAATTATCATTTTAATGGCCGCGCAGAGCGAATGTACGCCATAATTTACTTAACTGTTTACCTATTGTTAGGCATTTAGTTGCTTCCATTTTTCACTGCTTTAACTTGGGATGAACATTTTTATATAAGCTATGAATCCAAGCAGCATGCAAAGATGACTCTCCATCACTAATCTAAAAATACAGGGTTTATATATTTACAACTCACATTTGATTACGAAATTTCATTTGAGAGTAATTAAGACATTTATATTCTAAACAGCTCCTCACCTCCTCGTGCTCCTGAGCCTGACGGGCTCCACTGTGACCGGCCACGTTCACCTCAATATGCATAGTCCAGTGAATTCTGAACCTCGGTTTCCTTAGGAAAAATAAACTCTGAATCTACTGCCATAGAGCCAAGAGATTAACTCCAAGGACCAGAGGGCTCTAGGGGTGACCCTGCCAAGGCAAGCCGTTGTTCCAAGTCCCACATGGGTTTCATGCTCACTCCAGACTTAAAGGGCAACCCTCCCTCAGTCTGTGTTCTGGGCTAGGTGTGTTCCTGGGGTCACCTTGCCTAACCCGAACACAGGTGCATCATGGGAACAGGCCATGGACACTGCTTGAGGAGCTTCCACTTTTGATGTTGACCACAGGTGACTTCAGGTGACAGATTCCCTGCTTGAGGATAGTGGTTCAGGTGTGTGGGCTTCACACAGACTCGGCGTGCAGCCCGCTCTCTGGGCGGCTCCAAGCAGGTTACAAAAGAGAATCTTATGCCTCAGTCTACGGTGTGAGGATGATGCTCCCCACGAGGCTGCTGTGGGGGCAGAATGAGAAAACGCAGAGAGAGGTGTGCCCGGCAGTGCTGGCAGTTCTTGAGGACACAGATGTGGCCTGTGTGCACATGAGCCCGGCAGGGTCACCGGATCTTCTCACCCGCTGACGGGGTGCGTGAAGGAATCGTGAAGGAAGGATCCCACTGGTCCCCAGGACAGCCTTCTGTGGGGTCACCTTCCTCTTTCAGGACAAAACCATCATGTGAATATAACCACAATAAGTCTAAGTCCCCAGTACACTGTAGAGAAAGAGCCTGCAAAGACGTGTCCACCTTAGAAATTCCTAACGTCCAGGAAAATTCCTCTGAAAGCTTTAGAATATGTCATCCAGCCATCAAAAGGAAGCCCTAGCCTATCTGCAGCGAAAATCATCAGCCACACAGGTCCTTAGCTGTCTTCCCAATCAGAGCCATCAGCACCATTCAGTCACTACGGCTCCCGACCAACCAAGCTGGCCCAAAGTCCTAAGTATTACCATCGTTTTCACTAATATGGAACTCTGTAAAGCAGAGAAGAGCTTAGAATGTTCTTCTTCTTATTATTATTGTTTTGCCACTAGCAATTAATTTCTCTGATTTGTTTTATGAGTTTGATGGTTGGGTCCAACACTCAGAATATCTTTCCAAACCAGCAGAGTGATGTAAGAACATTAGTTCAGTGCAGTTCCCGGCAAATGGTGATGATGAATAGCAGGGAAGGACAAACTTATTCAGACACACATTTTTCAGTAGTGGCAGGGAAAAGGCTGAAAAATTGCTGGTAAATTGCTTCTTGTAAAAATGCTCTCTCTTTCAAATTTTCCCTAGTCTGAAGGTCTTCTGCAGGATGATGGCACAATCTGTCCTGACATCCCCGGATGACCAAGGCAGTTAAAGGATGAATATGAGATAAGATTGAGGGTTGAGAGTTCATTTTCTTATTTTACCACCTCCTCCCTCCAAGTTTCCATGCTCCACCCCAAACGACGCTATTTTGTGTGCATCTTTTTAACCTGTAGTTGAATAAGTGCCTCTAAAAGATATCTTTCATTTCCCCGAGCAGGCTTTCCCTGCCCCATCCACCAGGCGTAATCTCGGCCTTTGCAGAATGGAACAGGGTTATTGATGGGTCTCTGGACCGTTCCTTTTTCTTCCCCAGCTTTCTACAACTGTCCTGTTGGAGTTTCAAGTTACAGAGGTCTCCTAATATCTCCAGCATCTGGTAAAGCACCAAAGCCTTTTTGCTTTCTCTGCAAGCCTTGCCTTTCGGGACATGGGGGGAATGATGGTACGGAGCCTGAGACATTCAGGGCTGAAATGGCTGGAACAGTGGTCTCGGCTGGGATGGTTTTGCCCCCCAGGCTCATTCGGCAATGCCTAGAGACATTTCTAACTGTCACACCAGGAGGAAGGTGTGCTGCCTCCAGGGAGTGGGTTGGAGTCAGGGCTGCTGCCGGGAACCCTTTGCTGTGCGGTGGAGGGCGCCTCCAACGACAAGCTGCCCGGCCCGCCACGCCAGTCCTGAGCAACTGAGGACCCTAGCCTGAGCTAGATCAGATGCTGCAGAGATTACTTTCTGTTACCTCAAACACGGCTAGCAGTTAGTTAATGGCATAATGTAGGAAGAACTTGATTTTTCTGAGCCCTTCATTCAGTAAGCACTGTTGTTGGTCTGCAAGGTGCCAGGACCATGTTGGTCCAAAATGCAGAGGTCAACTGAACAGAAGACCTACTGTAGAGAAGGCCAGGGGTATAACACACTCCCAGACAGGGGCTGTGAAGTTTCCTCTCTTCTTCCCCTGAACTGGCCTGTGAGGCTGACTAAGGATGTGGGGAGGCGGTGGACACCTGGGTCCGTTAGAATCAGTGGAGGTGGGTATGGTGGATCAGAACTTTGTTCCAAGCTGTGCTTCTTCCTTGCTGTGTGATGCAAAATAAGCAATTTAAACTCTCAGACCTCTTGTTTCCTCCTTGAAATGGGAAGGGTGGCATTGGCCTTCAGGGACATAGACTTCCGTACACAGATGAGTGGAGGTTCTGGCCCACAGATTCTGGCAGTTGGTGCTACAAGTCTCTGGGCTGGGTCTACAGGCTCCAGGACAACACCTGAGGTCTGTCAACACTCGGCTGGGCAGTGCAGTACACTGGCTAGTGTCCATGACCTTGCTCCTAGGGACACATGGCCCCAGCCGCCAGCACTCTGCACAGGACCCTCTCCTGGGCCCTCATGGCTTCACTGTACGCTTCTCAAAACAGTGGAAAAGTAAAACCTAGGCCCCAAACAACACACCGAACTGTATTTTCTTGCTTTAGGTTCAGCCTTCAGGAAACTTATTCCCTGTACAATAAGCAGCTGTAGATCTGCCTAATAAAGTGAGGGCATTTCACCCACTGGTGTTCCCCAAGAGGACTCATTGGCCACCTGCATCTTTTTAGCTGCATTTAATAATTCAGCCCAGGATGAATTTGCATGATTAACATAAAGCCTCGTGATTTTATTTTCTTTCAGGATTTAAGGACTAAACAACTACCATTGTTTTCATTTTCAGAGGCTGTGATCAAAACACAAAACTTGATTCTAGAATGAATAATTTCTTTTTTTTTTTTAAAGTATTTTTAAATACCACTCTCCATGGAATCCAAGAAAAGAGTTGCTACTGCTCTCTTTTGTCAAAGCCGGGAAACCCAAACGCCTTTTATGTGTTAACCCATGAGAAATAAACCTTCCCCCCACAGTGTGTCCTTGATGGCACTGCCAGGCAGGTGTATGGCCAGCCCCCAGGGGACCCACCACAGCCAACTAGATCTATTCATTTCAGTTCTTCGCCGCAGGCCCTCCTCACGTATCTGCTTGGGACCTGGAATCCCAGGAAGCCCTTAAAACAGCAGCTCTTTTGGATTCCAGTAATAGATTAATCACATCATCCTCCAAAAAAAAAAAAAAAAGAGTAAAAGCCCAGTAAGTTGTGTTTGTGAGCCGTCTGCCTACAAGTGGAGACACGTGTGAAGGAGAATGTGCAAGGCAGGCGAGGATGCATCCTGGGGTCCCTGATGAAGGTAGTACAACAGGTTGGTCTAACGGGGAAACATGCATTACTATCAAAAGAAAGCCGAGCGTATCCCACGTGGAAAAGCAAGCAGGCTTTAACATCTGAGAAGCGGCTCTTGCTGTGCCTGCCAGCAACTCCCCGCCGGATTTTTCTTAACAGAAAGGCTGACCTCACCTGTTTAAAAATAATTAGGGAGCCGGCAGTTGTAATTTTGTCTAGAAGTCTGTACTGCCGGTGTTTGCCTGTGTATTTCTGATCCAGTGACACCTCTGTTGCTGTCTCTGAATGCAGGAACCATGGTCAGTAAGGAATCCGGCAAATGCCAACTCACAACGCCCGAGAGTGAAGTGGAGCCGGCTGCCTGCCTGGCCCTGGAGATGAAATACGCCCTGGATCCCAACCGGCAGATTAAAAAACGGAACAAAGCCCTGCAGGTGCGCTTTAAGGATATCTGCGAGGCCCAGAGTGAGCAGAGGGACACGCAGCTCTCCTCCTCCGGACAGCCAGGAGAGAAGAGGGAGGCCAAGCCCGTGTCCTGCAGAGCAGCTTATCGCAAATACATGACAGTGCCCGCACGCCGCTCCATCCCCAACGTCACCAAGAGCACAGGCGTGCAGACCTCACCGGACCTCCGAAAGTGTTACCAGACATTCCCTCTGGACCGCAAGAAAGGGAGCCTCAAAAGCCTCCCAGCCGCAGATCCCTTCAAAACCCAAAACAATGGGTTTCTAGCAGACACTAAGGAGAAGAGTGAGGCGGGCCCCATGGAAGAGTCCCGGCCATGCATGGCGGGGCGCGTTCACAAGACCACGGCCTTGGTTTTCCATTCGCAGGAGCACGTGAATGCTCTGGATCAGCCTCCGGGGGTCAACTGCGCAGAGCCCTGCAGAGACCCCGGAGTGCTCGGCCATCCAGAGGGTCCTCTGCAGAACTCCTCACGGCCTCCCTCCCAAGAGCCTGCTCACCAGCTGCAGGGGCGAGCAAAGCCTGATGGGGGGACCCCAGACTCTGAGGAGCCCGCCCATGGGAGGGTGTTTAAGACGGAGGTCGCCACCGTGTATGCACCTGCCATCAGTGCCAGGGCCCCTGAGCCTGGCTTGTCAAACTCTGCTGCTGCCAGCCAGTGGTCCCTCTGCCCTGCAGATGAGGAGCAGAGGAGAGCCACGCATCTCAATGGGCTGCAGGCGCCCCCGGGCTCTGCTCTGGCCTGCTCGCCCCCAGTGCAGTGCCTGTCCCCCGAATGTAGCGAACAGCCCCTAGAGACCCAGCCCAGTCCCACAGCCGTGGCGGCGGGTGAAGAATGCCAACAAATCGTGCCTCACACAGAGGTGGTGGACCTCAAGGCACAGCTTCAGATGATGGAGAACTTGATCAGCTCCAGCCAGGAGACCATCAAAGTGCTCTTGGGGGTCATTCAGGAGCTGGAGAAAGGAGAGGCCCATCGGGAAGGGTATGTATGCCCACCATGTCTAATGCCCTCTTGCAGGCCCACCACCCCGTCCATCTGTAGCCCTCAAAACCCAAGTCCTTAAGGAGACCAGGGCCAGCATTTCTGTGAATGGGCTGTAGTCTAAATGCACCATGCTATAAGGGGTTACACACACTGTGTTAAAGGGACAGGACTGGTGGCACAGTCCCCTGAAGGGAGTATACTCACTATCTGGGCTTGAATTCAATCTGAACCTATATTTTGAATGAACTGATGCATCTTTCCTTTTAATCTACTGGGACTAAAAGTTTATGATCTTGATAATGTGTAACACATATGCTAGTCTATACTATCTGAATAAGAACCTATTTGGGTCTGAGGAACTATATTATGAAAGAGAAAACAAGTTCAGATGGTATTAGGAAAAGTAAAGTCTGACTTATAAGCTTATAATAAATAATTGGGTTGACACTGCTATTCAGGACTATATACTGTCTTATTTAACAGACAATATGCTTTTCTTTCTTTTTCTGGAGCACACACAGAAATAGTGCCCTTCCTTCAACAGGATATGATTAGGAGACAGATGCCCATTCCCATGGGTGGCCTGTGTGTCCAGTTGGGCTGCAGAAAGAAGAGTACCAAGTTCATGGCCAACACTGTCTAGCACCTCTAAGAGCCTGCTGGATGTGATGGTCTTTTGAAGTTGAAATTGTGCAGCAGCATCTTTAAAAACAAATTATCTAAAGACAGACCCAGTTGTGAGGTTCTCCGTTAGGAACCCACCAGTAAGCCAGGCATGGTGTTGGGTTGACACACTGGGTCAGTGGCCTCAGGTTCCAGGCTGCTCGTCACCAGCCTTTGGACCACCATGCCTGCTCCTTCCCTGTGCCCTCGACCATGCCTCGCCTTGCTCAGCCAGTGTTCTGGGGGCTGGAACTGAGGATGAGCTCGGCTGCCTGATGTGATCTGCACCCTTCCCACTGTGGGCTGCAGGAGCTGGCAGCCAGCAGGAGAAAGTCAGCCAGGCAGTGCATTACCAGGGCAGCCTGCCACGCGGGCACCAGCTCCTCAATAGGATTGCAAGCAGAGGAGAAGAAACAGCCTCTGAATTCCAAGGCAGGAGCTGAGGATGCAGGGTCGCTCCAGTGGCGAGGGACCTGGTGCAGGTCTGGTCTTGGCTTCTGGCTGCTCCAGCTGAGAGCAGGGGCCTACCCACAAAAGGAGGGAATGCTTCATGCCATCCCCTCTGATTTACACAGGGAAATTGCAGTTGTTGCTATTAAGTAATAAGAAGTGTAACAGGAGATTAGGGTAATCTAGCACGATGGAATTTTCAGAAAGCCTTGGTTAATCTTGAGTTCATGTCACCATTTCCATCCCACTTCGGTCATCTAGACTTGAGTCTGTACATATCATAAAACAACACAGGGGAGGCGGAGGGGTGATACCAGGGACCACTGATCAATAGACCCCATTCCCTTGGGAAAAACTACAAGTGTAGACAGTGACTCCCAACCTGACTCTGATGTGACTGGCAGTAACTTGAGCTAGACAGCAAATTAGAAGGAAGCCAACATAGCCAGGGGGGAAATAATCCACCAAATGGTATAAAACCAAACAGGTCCGCTGCTGTGCATGCTCACGGGATGTGTGCCAGGGAAACTGTGACGGCTGCACACCTACAAACTCCCTCTCAAAGAGAAACCAGGCTGTACTTTAGGTTCTTCCTGGTGCTATTAGGATACTATGACCATTGTATTCAACAGCATCCTCCAGCTTCTGAGACTCTTTCTGCCCAGTGAGATGGTTTGTTTGAGGAAGATACATGCAGGTGGGATTCTGGCTCCACTGACTTGGCCTGGGCCCTACCTCCCTGTGCCTCTTCTCCTCGCCTGTAATTGGAGGGGCTGATTACCAGTCCCTTGGTGGGGAGAGGGCGTACGGGTGACCTTCTCAGAGGACCCTCCCAGGGGCACATGTCCTTAGATGGGTGGGTGTCCCCCGGTGCATGAGAGCTGGTCTCGTTGGCCAGTGATGTCAAAGGCAATCATTTAGAGGCCGGCATTGGAATCCAGCATGATGAGTGCACGTCCCCCATACTGGGCACACACCTTCCACTCAGGTGCCATCAGTCACATGTTGCTAATGAAACTCAAAGTCACATTAATTAATCAGTCACAATTGAAGATTCAGTTCCTCGGTCACACTGGCCACACTGAAGGTGCTTACCAGGAAGATGCACAAGATGGCACAGAGGGAGAACGTGTCCCTCAACATGAGGAGCCTTCACTCCAAACTATGGCACAGTGATGCCTGGCTGCAAGCCACCTGAGGACCTGGGCACCTTAAGTCAACGCAAAGGATCTTACTTTAAAATCAATCCCAGTCTAGCTGCTGCCCCATCAGACACACTCACAGCAGAGGGCAGGTTCACCCTGGTGGTCCCCACATCTGCTCTGATAACCCCCACTCCCACCTCCCTCAGAGCCCTCTGGATGCCTGAGGTCAGTGAATCAAGCACCAAGGCCACCATCATGGTGTCCCTCCTGCCCAATGCCCAATGTGGCTATAACTCAGGCGTCCACCCCTCTTTTCCACATCAGAATATTGGAGAAAGCAGCAGCTTCTGAGGAGACAGAGACAGACAAGCTCTTTCTTCACCCCCTCCTGAGTTAGGTTCATGCAGAATCCTGGGCACTGCTCTGGGGAGGGGAGCCTCTGTCCATTTTTCGGGTGCAGCCACGGCCAACTTCCAGCAGATCCCAAATCTTGAAAGATCACCACCCTGCTTCTCGGAGCACCCAACCAATCCCTGGAGGGCAACCCTGGAGGTCACTTGAGAAGGTGGAATTCACTCACTTTATACACTTGATTAAGGCGGGGAAACAGATGCCTGAGTTGCCTCTCAAGATCAAAACCAGGAAAATGCAGTAACTTTTACGTAGATTCTTATATAGTCATTTGTCGATAAGATAAGGGTTGAATGACCGAGTTAAAATACCTACAATTTTCCTTGGAAAACATTCTAAGACCTAAAGTCATTAACTGTGGAGAATCCTAGAAGCTGGGTGGAGTCAACGGCTCTGCATCCGCCACCCCTAATAAAACCCAATAAAGAACAACCCTGGTGAGGCCAGGCACTTTGGTTTGTCCCCAAGGTTTGTTTAGGGACAAACCTTGTCCCCAAATTTCCACAGCATGCTCCAGGCTTGCCCTGGGCCCAGGAGAGCCCCAGCCTGCTCTTGTGCACAGTGTTGGGACTGCTGGATCTGGCCAGTGGCCCTCAGCCACTTAGGTTTCTTGGAACACAGCTAATGTGTAATCTTTTTCGTAGGATTTCTTGTCACTACTGAGTTTGTCAGGCAAGCTCTTCCCAGTAGTTCTTACTCTGGAGGAATTTCTGTGCCTCCAGCCATGACCAATTTCAGTAGCTTCCAAATAATTTTTCATAAGAGACTCTTTGCTTAATCTCATTTGCTTGTGTAGATTTCTGCAAGGCCTCAACAGAGAAAGGTCTCATCGTAGGCAACTTACTTAGCCTCCATGAGCTTCAGTGTTGTCTTCTATTGGGCAGGAGTATCATCCGTTAAAAACGATGCCCATAAACCCTTTCCTCTAACCGGCACACTGTGGCTGGGAAGAAAGGACAGTCCTATAAGAGCATTTCATCAGGACTCATTCTGTGAGCAGGTAGACGGGCACAAAGCATCCAAAACCATGTCTTTTAGTACCTTGTAAGAAGTTTTGCACAGTTCACTAAAATTGCTCTGCATTTGAACCTTGGCTTGCATGAATGCCAAGAATTACCAGCTTATTTCAGACTTCTCAGTATTATTCTTGTTTCTTCTCAGAAAGGTTAGGGTCACACGGGCTACCTAAATAAGTAACTTCTGTAGTCATTGAGGGCTAAAATAAGCAAAGCAGAGAATTTTGAAAAACCAATCAATTCCTAGAAGAGTGGTAATTCCTGACAGCAGCTATGGAAATCCTGGGCAGAGGGGCTGCAGACCAGCTGGCTGCAGGTCATCAGCCCAAATGCCGTCCACTGTAGTGTGGTGGCCCAGCAGCACCCTGGGTAGACACAGCTTTGTTTGCTTCCAAGATTGCACACCCCAAACATTTTAGTCTAGGGGAAGTCACTGGTTCGTGACAGCCTACTGATGCTGGGTATTCAGAGAAGCTGTTGAGGCCTTCATGCACAAGTCCAGGATCATCAGCTGCCCAGAGTGAAGCAGGCTCTTCTATGGGTTGGGTCTCTCCAGCATCTGCTGTGTGATGCCCACAGGCTTTGGTCGGGGTACAGAGGGACCCAGGCCTCGCAGGCCCATAACATGAAACATGTCCACAGTAGACAGAGATGAAATCAGGAGGCTTCGTGGTTATACTAAATCAGGGCTAATGTGAGACCCTGAATTGAAAGGAGAAATCCTAAATAACAGGCCAGCCCCAGGGGTCCTTGGCTTGCAGGAAAAGCTCGGATGCCCGTGATCCACTGTCTCCCTCAATTCCTGCCATGCCATTGTGGAGACAGCTCCCTTTTACTCAGGTTCCTTTTCACCGAGAAGGAGCCGTTTCTTGGTGACCCAGGCCAGTTCTCCCAAGTTCAGGGAACACAGTGGTAACAGAATCAGAAGCTTTGAGAATCCCCTCTAAATCAGGGCTCCGTGAGGGCAGGCTTTCAGGACAGGGAGAAGATACTACATGCACATCCGTGCAGAGTCCTAGATTAACGCCTGCTCAACTCTGGTTTTCCTTTGAATCACAAGAAGTGGGAACAGCGACAGGGGAAAGAAGGGTCTTATGAGCCCGAGTATTTCACAGGTACTGACGGGGCTCCAGGGACCTGGACTTCTGAGGGTCTGAGATAGTTCCTCCCATATGGGGGAGTGAGCAACCACTTTCTGCAGAGATAGACTGCCCGTGTGTTAGGTTTTGAGGGCCATACAATCTGCGACACAATGATTCAACTCTGCCAATGTAACCTGAAAGCAGCCACAGACAATCCATATACAAATGGG